ACTTAGGTTGTTTCCAACTCTTTGTTATTGTGAACAAAGTTGTGATAAACATGGGTGCGCATGAAAGTAAGAACTTTTACTAAAATAGAAAAGATATGTCCCAGAGAGAGAGAGAGAGAGGTCATTCTCTAAAAGTAAAGAAGAGAAAACAGATATGGCTTGGAGAAGTTGCAGCCTTGGAGGCAAAGATGACAAAGCTTCATCTCACATACTTTGGATGTGTTGCTGGGAGAAGTTATTCCTTGTAGAGGGACCTCATGCTTGGAAAGGTGAAGGGATAGAAAAGGAGAGGAAAGACCCTCAGCAGGTAGATTGACATAGTGACTGCAGCAATGGGCTTGAGTGTGACAGAGATGATGCGGATGGTACAAAATAGGACACGGTTCGGATCTGTTACTCAGACGGTCGCTATGAGTTGTACTCGACTTGACGACACCTAACAAAACAGCAAGCAGGGCGCGCTGATGGAGCTCCATGGCCAGCCAGTTCGAATCCAACAGATAGCTGCTCCTTGGAAAAAGAGTGGGCACAAAACAACCATGAGATATCATCTCACCCCAGTAACAATAGCAAAATTTAACAGAACAGCAAACAACAAACGTGGGAAAGATTGTGGAGAGAAACTGGAACCCTTATTCACTGTTGGTGGGAGTTTAAAATGATGCAACCACTATAGAAGGCAGTATGGTGCTTTCTCAAAAAGTTGAAAACAGAAATACTATTTGGCCCAGCAATTCCACTACTGGGAATAATACCCCAAAGAAAGCATAACCACCACCCAAGCAGATACATGCACGCCCATGTTCATCACGGCTTTGTTCACAATAGCAAGGAGCTGGAAACAACCTAAGTGCCCATCAACAAACAAATGAATAGAGACGCTGTGGTATATTCACACAATGGAATACTACACTGCATTGAAAAAGAAGGAACTCATGCAATATTATATAAAATGGGTGGTCCTGGAGGACATTATGCTGACTGAAATATCTCAGTCACAAAAGGACAAATACTGCATAGTGCCACTGTTGTAAAACGGGACTGACCTTGGGGTTGGGGGGAGACTGAGAAAGATGGGATAAGTAATGTATACTGCATTGAAACAGATGATGGAGAGAACTATTTAAAAGGGATATATGATTAGGTATTATTGTCACGA